TACCTAGATTTCCTGTTACAGTGGACAATGACCTGGCAACAGTTGCTGCTCACATTACTGCCTCTTGGCTGAACTAGAGGAATGAATATAATTGGAGGTAAATCTTCCAGCATTTAGAAAAAATTAAATGCTATAAAACACTGCAGGCCTCTCCTCAAAAATACACACTGTACATTTGGTGTAACAAACATATCAACCTCGTTATTAATGTTGACTTTGAAAAAAATAAAAAATCCAATTCAAGAATGGTCTTGCCTAGCAACCCAAAATGCTTACATGAAAACTGAGAGCTGCAGTTATTGTCCTCTGATACACAGGAATTTTTTTAACTTCAAAACCTGATCTCTACTTAAAACCTCTACACTGCAGTGACAAAACAGGAAACAGACTGAACATAATGGCTTTCTGAAGAAAAGGTTTTTAAGCATGAATAGTGGTCATATTCAGTGTACCACCCACAGAACACCTCAGATTTTGTGATGTTAAGGTGATCAAGAAGATGATTCACAGTGCTAAGTATGCAAGCACTGGGTACTGATTGTTGGGGAAAACTATACATTCGAAATTCACAGCATATATTTCTGTTAGGACATAGTCTATGGCAATATTAACGCTCTTACAGTTCCCTGATTAAAATTAAAAAGAAAAAAAAATAGTAAGGAGAGGAAAGGCCAAATCACTAAAGAAATAAATTTGCACATTCAATTCTAATAGTGTTCAAATAATCCTTGTAGCTCAGACCTATGATTTGTAAAGAAACTTTTTCCATTCCTATATTGTAGCAATTTTTTTGTGTGACCAGAGGACTTTTGAACAGCAGGAATTGCTGTCAGTGAGTATTCCCAGAGCAGCTGAATTTCAGATTAATTTAAAAGTTTAACATCTTATTTTTAAAATAAAATGCTTTTTTCTTCACTGAACAATGTACTTATACAGTAGAAAAAAATGCACATGCATAGAAATACTGAAGTTAGTGTGAGAACTCAAATTTTGAAAACAGAACTATTAAACTTAACTCTTAATGACATCTTAATGCATCGAGGTATGAAAGTTTGCTATTTAGAATAAATTTTACTTTGGTTCCAGTCCAAGGTAAGGTAGGAAGTAGGCTGAGGTAGATAGAGATATTAAAAATTGAGAGATTCTAAAAATAAATAAATTAGTGTTTAAATACATGTCAATATCATATGTAGTAATATGAAATTCCACTTAAAAACAACCCTTTGTTTTGTTTGGTTCTGGACACAAACATGTATGAAATAAGACTGGACCAGACAGCAATGTATACTCTGTAAAGTGCTCAGATGTAGACAGGAGAATTGGATTTTGCTGCTTAACAATATTCTTCTGGTTCAATGCTGGTATTTTTGAAAATAATTTCATTGCCTACCATTGGAATAGAACTGTATCCTAGCAATGCAAAGTAAAAAAAAGAAAAAATACTAGTGAAAGGAATTCACAATACACTCTACAGTGCAAATTTAAAATACAACTGCTCAAGCTTGCTTAAAATCAGTTTATCAATTTAGAATTATATTTATCCTACTGAAGGTAAGGTAAAACACACAATGTGCTATTGACTTGAACAGACTGTGCTTCTTAATTTACAATGACCTAAAATGTGATTAATGAACATTACTTCCATGTCAATGGTGCCTTGAAATCTCAACTCTTATACACAAGTTCAGAGGTACATCATCTGGGATTGGCACACACAGTGAGATAAAGTGAATATATGATAGAATACAATTTCCTTAAGTGCCACTAACAATTATTTTCTATTTTCCTCCAGGATATTTAATATATAAAAACAAGATTAACTCTCAAATATTTGTACTCATATTGTATTTCTGTGTAGTGGCAATAGCTTACATGACAGTTTTTTGGGGAAATGAATTTCTCTCCTCTGCAGAGGAAACACACCTTAGGAAATGTTTGTGTAAATCAGGTAGTATCCTTGAATTTCTAAGCCTTCGTATTTCAGGAATGCAAAGAATTCTCAGGCAGCTTTTTCTCCACCTCCCCACACTTAGTGCATACCACTTCTGGGCTCAGAATAAAGAAAAGAGATAAGCAAACAGTTGTTCTTTTACGGTAAAGCAAAACTTGCTCAGTTACACAGATATTGGAAGGAAAAAGAAAAAAAATCATGGTTTTATTTTTTTAGATATTTTCTTCAATTTATTAATAATCTTTTATATTTGTTTATTTATGGCTTTGAGCAAAGACAAAAAAAATCTATCTCATCCCTGATCATACAATTATTGTAAGAACCAGATCTATAGTCTTCCCAGCAGCAGTAAGATCCAACCTTTTTCATGAATACATTTCATCTTGTACAGATGTGAGATTTCATACTTATGGGCCTACTTATGTACAGAGAAAATAGGTCACTTCTGAAACTAGCAATGGACCTTTATATTACAGGAATGTGAGTCATTTGTTTCTTAATCTAAGTATATATACATTCATACATACATATATATATATACGTATATAATTTTATACCCTGTACCATTTTTTTTAATTAACATACAAATCCTAGATATTGTCCACTCTATTACAAAGTCATTAAAAATTATTTATGGTTTCACTGAAAGACCATGTGAATTAATATTTCTTCATAGTGCTTAAAATAAAATAAAAATATATATAAAAATATTTTGCTACTAACCCCATTTCTCCTATTAAATGTAAACCTTAAACAGTTTTCAAGATCAGTATATGATCTTAATTAACTGACAGAATTTGTTAGCATTAAAATAATATAAGGGGTATTGTACTCATAAATAAATGGTCTTGCAGCGTATCCATAATGTTTGAGACACTTTTTTTAAACAATCATTTCCCCATTTCCACTCCAGGTCACTTAAATTAATGGCAGCAGCATGTTAGTGGGTTAATTACATCGATCTTTACTGGTGAATGTGAGTCAGCAAAAAAAAAAAAAAAAAAAAAAAAAAAAAAAAAAAA